TGGTGGGGGGGGAGTTGTGTGGAACCTGGGATTGAACTCAAGCCCTTGCACTTGCCAGGCAAGCGCTTATTCTACTGAGCCATCTCCCTGGCTTGAGTCCCTGTCTTTAAAAAAACAAAAAACACTAGCTCTGTCTGGTCTTCAGTCTCCTGAGTGCTGGGGTTACAGGTGTGTGCCACCATGCCGAGGTAAGCCTGAGTTTTCACAGCAAGACAAAACTGAAGAGGCAGCATAGCAGAATGGTTAGGAAAATACAGAGCTGAGGTGACTTGCTGAGCCCCCAAAGACCTGCAGTTTGTGAGTACCTGGTGGAAGTGCAAAGTCCTGGGGTGAGAGTGAACTCCGTGTTTGGAAACTAGGAAGAAGGGAAGGCTCCAGGGCTGTCTTTCATTGTTTAATACAGTTGTGTTTGTGGTAGCCCTGCCTGTGGCTGTGGTACAGAGGGAGGAGGGGGTACAGGGTGGGCTCTGGAAGTTGCTGTTGCCATCCTGTGTCATATTTAACATTTGGTTGTAGCAGGCAGCCTCTCAGATGGCTTCTAAAGGTCACCCTCTGGTATCCAGTCTTACAAAGTCTTTGAGCGTGATCTGGACCTTGTGACCCACTTCGGATGAATATATAGTAGTCTACCCTTTTCTGCAGGCAATTCCAAGACCCCAAGTGTGTGCCTGAAGCCGCAGATAGTACTAAGATAAATGCCTTTTCCATTTAAGCATTTGTCACATGCTAAGGTTGGAGCTTTTGCACTTTGAGGTGTGATAACAAAATTAGTAAAATTTCTTTTTCTTGGGGCCTGGGGAGATGGCTCAGTGGAATAAGTACTTCCCTGGCAAGCACAAGATCCTGAGTTTAATCCCTGGTTCCACAAAAAAATAAAATAAAAATAAATAAAATTTCTTTTTTTTTACAATCTCAGATACAAGATTTATTTGTCCTGTAGATCTTTTTTTTTGGGGGGGGGTAATCCCTTGCGCTTGCCAGGCAAGTGCTTATTCTACTGAGCCATCTCTCTGGCCCCTGTCCTGTAGATCTTAACTTCAGCGGGTGTCTTTTGCCCTTAGTAAGTTGAAAACTCACCTTTTCAT